CTAGAACCCAGAATGGACCGACGACCATTCCGAGCGGATACATGACATGAAATACGTACCTCAAACATGGTACCGTAATTATAATCAATGTACTTAGTCTGAGTCCCCACCTGATCCGTGAAAATAAAGGCAGTGCTGATACTCGTGACCTGATCAAACTGAAATATAATATAAACAATTACTAATTACTATGCTCAGGCTGTTAACTTAACTGATTAATTTTGTTAAGATGTTCTACTGAACCTGACATGATATTTAGACTTAACCGGAATAACTGGAACTGATCTGACATGAACTGATCGGACATGAACTTACTGGACTGAACTGAACCTGGAATTTTAACTGAAATGGAACTTAAAATGCGAATCAGGATTAAAATAATATTATTTGGGTCAAACCGGTATTAACAGGTCTGAACCGGTCTGGCCGGACTGTCGGTCTGCTCGGACCGGTCGGCCGGCGGCTGACTCGGTCCACGGCCTTGCCATGGCCGTGCGACTGCATGCTGAACTGGGCGTGGTCACGGCCGCTGCCGGGCCTGCCCTGGCCATGGCTGGGGTGCTATGTGCACCTGGCCACGGCAGACGCGCGATAGGCCATCAGGGCATGACTTGTGGCACGGCCGTACGCTATGTGCGTCGGCTGCCTCCTGACTGGCACAGTTCGGGTGCTGCCATGCACCACAACGTGCCACTGGGCGTGCATCGGCACTGGACAACGTGACTGGCACCATGCGGCCCGCTGTCGGGCGACATCGCGCTCTGGCGTGCGTTACCGCCCGCTGGCGTGCAAGACTGGCTGATCGGCTATGCGACTGGCACTGCCGAGGCCCGCGGGGTGATGCTGAACGCATTATCGTGCATGAGAATGCATGGACATGCCCTAAGTGCTCACTGACCGACAACTATAGCGGACTGAAATCGTACGTGACACCGGGCTGGATGTACACGTTCGACACCTGCCCGCCTGCCTGTCTGCCGGCTCGCACGGCCGCTACATGCGGCAGCGTGCACCCGACCGACCCTTGTCGGCCGTCCGGTAATATTTTCCGACAACCTTAACATAACATTACTTAATATGATTTAATATACTGAACTTACATAAAAACGCTGAACTTTGCTTAACGAACCAACATGCACTCGCTATGTACGAGGCTTACGGCTTATGACCAATTCCTCGGCCAAACATGAAAAACTCTCGACTGACACTAACTAAACAAGCATAAAGTGACATAAACAAACTAACTGGACATGAAATATTTGGCAAATCTGATCATGATGAAAGATAACATAGCACGGCTTATCATGACCCGTAGGCATGCGCTATGTGTGAGGCCGACGACTTAAACCTATTTCATGAGCAATGATCGATTTGTCCTGACCAACATGAATGAACTGAATCTAAAATGATCAATAGAAATCAATTAAGCATGAACTGTTCGAGGACCGCTGGATAAAATGAAGGTTAACTCGGTTACGGTCAATTCATGGCACTACCGAACACATCATGGCATTTCATGAACTTTTAGTACATGAGTTTGAACAATTTAACACTACATGATCTCATTAACAAGAAGAGGTGCTGAGGGTAAGATTACCTCCTCAAGATCTCAATCGAATCCACAAGAAAGACGTGATTCTTTGGCTCCGCGTGTGTGCGTACGTTATCCGGCGTTGCGTGCGAGGTGCGTAATAGCTCGCGGTGCGTATGTTAGAGTAGTATACCCAACGTTCCAATTTTGATTGGATGTATTCTACTTGTAAATATAATCTGTTGGAATTATATTAATTAAAGGCA